CTATGCAAAGATAAAGAGCAATGATGAATCTGTGAAGTATCTCATAACATGGATGAAACTGGAGGACATTATGCTGAGTGAAATAAGTCAATCACAAAAGAACAAATATTGTATGAGACCTCTACTGTAAAAACTAATGAAAAAGTTTGCACACAAAAAGAAACAATCTTTGTTGGTTACAAGAGATGGGAGGTATGGGGAGGGAATACTAAATAGACAATAGATAAGTGGTAACTTTGGTGAAGGGAAAGACAGTACACAATAATGGGGAAGCCAGCACAACTTGCACAAGGAAAGGTCATGGAAGCTCCACAGACACACCCAAACGCCCTGAGGTACTGAAATACTGGGCAAAGGGCTGTGGGGACCATGGTCTTGGGGAACATCTAGCTCAATTGGTATAACACAGTTTATAAAGAAAATGTTCTGCACTCTACCTTGGTGAGTAGAGTCTGGGGTCTTAAAAGCCTGTGAGCAGCCATCTAAGATAACTCCACTGGTCACACCCTTTCGGGAGCAAGAAAGAAACAAGAAAACAAGACACAAGGGAAAGATTATCCCAAAGGACTAATGGACCACAACTACCACAGCCTCCACCAGACTGAGTCCAGTACAACTAGATGTTGCCCAGCTACCACCACTGTCTGCTCTGACCGGGATCACAACAGAGGGTCCCAGACAGAGCTGGAGAAAAATGTATAACAAAATTCTAACTCACAAAAAGAGACCAGGCTTACTGGCCTGACAGAGACTGGAGAAGCCCTGAGAGTATGGCCCCCGGACACCCTTTTAGCTCAGTAATGAAGTCACTCCCGAGATTCACCCTTCAGCCAAAGATAAGACAGTCCCATAGAAGAAAATGGGGCACAATAGTCCAGGGATAAGGAACAGAAGGCAGGAGGGGAAAGCTGGTAATACGGAACCCAAGGTTGAGAAGGGACAGTGTTGACATGTCGTGGTGTTGTTAACCATTGTCATAAAACAATACGTGTACTACCTGTTTAATGAGAAAGTATTTGTTCTGTAATCCTTCATCTAAAGTACAAAAAAATTTTCCAAAAAGAAAAAAACAATTCAACCTTTTAGTAAGAGAAATGCAAATTAACGCTCACTGATAAACCATTTTTCACCTAAGTAGATTGGCAAAAATCCAAAATGTCTATCAATATGCCGTTGACAAGGCTGTGGGGAAATAGGTACTCCAGTACACTGCAAGGTTTTATATTGCTGGTGGAAGTACAAAACGGAACTAAGTGAAAAAATTCAACATGCAGAACAATGGGTATGCATTAAAAAACACTAGAAGATTAGTAGAAATGAATAATAGAATGTAGGGAACTAGGACAGAGGTAGGACTAAAACTTTCTATTGTATACTTTTTTATATCATTTTGATTTCTAAACCATGTTATTGTATTACCTGTTTCAAAAAATAAATATATATTTTTTTATAGAACTGAAATTTTAATTCTAGGAAGGGCAGTACAGTATCAGTGAAGAGAATATTTGGTTGGAAGTTATATCAAATCTTCTACTGGTCTACCTTATACAAATTCAATATGCTGCCCACCCCCAATTTCCCAATTTAGTAAACAACAGACAGTTGGATTAAATGATTTCAAACACAGAGGTTAAGAGCACAGGCTCTGAAGCCAGAATGCCTGGATTTGTATCTTGGTTCTACAACTGAACAGCTGTGAAACCTTAGGCAACTTTCTTAACTTCTCTTCCTCATCATTAAATTGGGGTAATAGTTAATACCTATCTCATAGGGTTGCTAAGTGGATTAAATGGGTTCATACATATAAAGAGGTTACAGAACACATGTCAATGTTCTTAACTATTATTATCATTCCCTAGTAAGTGCTCTACAAATGTTCTTAGTTATTATTATCATTCCTTCTAGCTGTGCAATTCTATGATTGCACATATCAGCATATTAAAAGCAGAGTTAAGGCCCCAAATTTAAAATGGAAGGGAGAATAAAGTTTGAACTGGGAAAAGGAAAAATATACATATATAATTGCTTGGATAATTTTTTTTTTTAGTACCTTGGTGAAATACAGGCAGTCCTTGCTTTGTGCTGTGTTAACATAAACTTGTGCACATTGGAACCATGCAAAGCGACGACTGCCTGCAATACACCTTTTTTGCAGATTACATTTTTCTAATGTTCACCAAGCTATGATTTCTAATTGAAAAAAATGGGAGATAATTCAATGTCCAAAGAGAAACAGATGGTTAACTAATCTACGGTGTTATCTATTTAGCGAAATATGCAATCATATCAAGTGATGTTAATCTAGAGTTTAATAACATGGAAAATGCTTATAAGAAAAAATACAGAATATAAAATGGAATCTAATGTCTGATCGCTGCTACGTAAATAAACAGTACAGAAAAAAGAGACCAGAATTTTAAAAGTGATGGATATTCTTTCTACTTTCTATTTTTCTAAAGTTTTCAAAATGAAAAGAAAAAACTATTAGCCAGTAAAAAAGATAAACTCATGAAAAGGTTTAAAAGAACACAAATGATACAGTATTTGTTATATCTATCTACCTACCTACCTACCTACCTACACACACACATACATTATACACAGTAATGTTAAGTAGAAGATCAATCCAACAGAATCCTGTTCAATCCCTAAAATTAGAAATTGAGCTGTAGAGGCTATCAAAACATTCTATATCTATATCCATCATTCTGATGAATTTTTTGCAAGATAAGAAAACCATGCCCCACATTCTGGTGAAAGCTACACTCAGTTATTTCGATGTTTAAATCAAGAAAAAGTACACACCTCTTCCCAGTCCCCCAGAGTGTGTGGATCATTGGAGGTGATTTGGAAAAACAAATGGAGGCTGAAATGATAGTTTCAGAGCACTCTAAGGGTTTAGTTACTATATACACCACAAATTTTACAGGATGGAGAAGAATCACAAACAAAATAATTGAAGCTGAAGCATCTTATCTTTAACATAAACTACTATGTTCCTATTGTATTTTCTAAATAAGAATTCTCTTATTCCTACTTTGTGCATTTCCAGTTTAGTATTTTTGCAATGTTTATTACAACATATGGAAAGCTACCATTTTCAACTTTTAGTGTTCAAGAATTAAAATGAGGTTCTAGAGTATCATGACCAGATTTACTTTCTAGTGGTTGTGTCTGGGGATAGTGAATTAATAGGAAGGAAGCATGATGGAATTTTCTGGGATTATGAAGATGTTCTATATTTGTTTTGGGTGGTGGTTACAGAGGTACAGTCAGTCATCACAACTCATCAGACTGAACACAAAAGGTCTGTGCATTAAATTATCCTTTAAATGATTGACATGTGGACTTACAAAATACTTTCTCTAATATAAAAAATTATCAGGCTAAAGCTGCAGTTAATACTATGTTAAATCATGCTCAGACACAAAACTACAATTCCTAAGAGAAGCCTGGTTATTACTACCCACACTGTACAACTAAAACACATGCTCAAACATGGATATTAAGGTACACACTCCTCTTTGCCAAACACTAAACACCCGTCCCGACAAAAACCCCAAAGCAAACACAAATAACATCACCTTCCCACATACACATCAACAGTAGATGCAGCATATGGGTTATACCTAGAATAATCTGTAATATTTAATTTAAAAAATTTCAAATTATAAAATTATACTTACTATTGCACATCTGAAATAATCTAAGCAAAAAATCATCACATTCTTTCATATACTGATTTTTTTTAACTAAAGATAAACCTTTAACTCTAAATCTTACTTCCTTTTAAAAGGCTTCAGGAGAAATAAAGAAGCAAGTTTGGCAAAACAAAACAAAACACGAAAACAACCCCAAAAACCCAAACCAAGGAATTCCAGAAGTGCAAGCATCCCCAGAGGAAACACAAGTATAGCTTCAGATTCCTATTCCCATAGTCCTTAGTAACACCACTACAGTATCCCATGGAGAAAAACTGGAGAGGCACTTAAGATAGAAATAAATTTGTTGACACATAGAAGTATAAGTAGAATAGACTTCAAACAAGCAGTTAAAAAAAACCAATCAGCAAAACCCAAGACAAAGAAAAAGCCTTGCTTGAAAGAGGAAAATGCCTAAGCTTCATCAGGTGATACATACCCGTCTGTCGATCTTATCACCCTGCAAATTATACATCAAAAATTATTCATAAATATTACTACTTTAGGAAAATTTAAATCTAGAAAAAATCCCTCAAATACTTTTCCACATTCTTTTTACAAACACAAACCAATAATTTCGGACAAGATAATTCTAATCTTTTATTATAAAAAAAGTATATACATTTTAGGGGAGAAAGGATAAGTTTTAATTAGTAACATTTGGTTACTTAGAGTGGAAAAAGACACTGCCATCTTGAGGATTTCTCATTACTCTTGAATTTTAATTACATGTTAAAATGAAGTCTGTGGTGATGGTCATCAGACAGTTAATTACTGTTTGGTTTAAGAAAAGCTTTTTTCAACATACTGCAAAATGAGAACCTAGCAATGCTAAGTATTAAGTTTAAGTAAAGATATGAATATTTTGGGATAGTTTTCTTAATCACTAAAGATAAACGATAAATCAAAGATAAAACAATTTTTCAATCAAAATAAGATAATGTTAAACAATATCCAACTCCCTCTTCACTATAATCAATTTTAAAGCTTTCATTTAATTTCCTATCGTGACACTAATACTTCTTGAAGAAGTATATTGATAAAAGCTCACAACAAGGACTAATTCAGTGACTGTGACAAAATTAAAAACTAAAGAATAACAGCATGTTATCATGGGGAGGGGTTAGGACAATAGCAATTTTAGTTACCTCCCTGTGTGGCCCTGAATGTTGATGACTATTGTTTTGCTGAAGCATGAACTTGAATTGCCTAGCAACCAGGGTGGCACAAGTGGGCAAATTATCTAATAACAAGTGTCATTCCTAAACAGCAAGCACCCACACTTCAATAAAACTTTGCTGTTTCCTTAAGAGGGTAAAGGAATGCAAGAATTTCTGATTATGTTTTTCTACATCCTACTGGGTGATTATATACCTTGGGGATTTGAGGATTTGAGCTCTCACAAATATCAAGGGGTATACAGTATAACTACATAAGCAATGGACTGCTATTATATCTTTGTTTTCTGGACTATCAATTGCTCTGTGGGAAGAGAAGGGGGGAGGTACAAGCTATGAACCACCTTACTCTATTCCCTCTCATAAACTGACCTGAATTCAGCTACTGAGAAGAAAGAGAAAATGACATGCAGGAACACTGTAGATGATTATAAAAGAAAATCAAGAAACAAAAAACAAAAAATACCCTTCTGCCTAGAACATGTGTTTCTATCATGATGTAGAATTTATGGAGCCCTAGTGGCACACTGGTTAAGACATACAGCTGCTAACCAAAAAAATGTTGGCAGTTCAAATCTACCAGACGCTCCCTGGAAACCCTACGGGGCAGTTCTATTCTGTCATACAGGGTTGCTATAAGTTGAAATCGACTCTATGGCAACAGGTTTGGTTTTTTGGTTTGGTAGACCTTGCAATTACTTGGTAAAAACATCTCTCCTTTTTCTCCACAAAACTGACTCTGGTTATAATCAACTAATAAGCACATAAGTCCCCTCTCTTTCATCTGCATCTACTAAGGATATTCCCACATTCTTGAATCACTGACACCAAAACCTATAGTCAATTTCCTCCTTAGGGAGTTGCATGTAATACTTTACCTGTGAAAGGATGTTGGTGCACTGTTGCAGTAAAGAAACTGGAGGGTTGCCGATACTTGTAGCAAGCTGAACCCTGAGCAACTGTTCTTTCTGGGTAGCATTGTCTTGCAAAGCATGGGCAAGGGCCACAGCAGCACACCAGTTGGAAAGTGAATCAGTAGAAAACAGACCTCCACATAGTAACTGACCAGCTGAGACTGAATTACCTGTTGCTACAAAGATGGCAGGCAGATGATTTATTAGATTTCTACTGTGTGAGTAGACGAAATAAAAAAATGTTTAATTAATTGTTTTCTATACACATAAATGGTATGAAATACTATTTAAAAATTGTTAATTAATAGTGTTAAGTAACATTTTCAAAATAATAAAAGTCTGCTTTCCAAAACAAAATGAAAAACCAGAGAAGGGTATTTTGGAAAAGTAGTAGAACAAAGATATATTAGAAGATACTTTAGGCAACAAATTGATACGGTAATATTCCAGAAAATTATTAGCTTGATTAAAAGCTACATTTCTAAAGCAAATTCAAGGAAATGTCACGTTAAAAATTATTCTAGTACATCCAGGGTCTTATACTTTCATTTACTTTGAAAATGAATTTTGATAAAATATAATTAAGTTATAAAATTTTGACAACCTCCCCACCACAATTTATGTAATTAAAATGAGTTCTCTTGATCTTTGCAATTACCTTTATCAGACTGCTGTTAAGTTTAAAGATAACAAAGGTAAACATTAAAAGAATTCATCTCAGGTAAAATGAAATATTCAACCAGCCATGAAAGAGGCAATGACTCTAACCTATATTAGAAAACTAGAACAAAAAGTTAATTAGGTTTCATGATAAGAGATATCGTTAGAGGAGTAATTACTATTAACAGCAGTTTCTATTTATTGAGTGCCTATTATATGCCAGGTATTGGGGTAAGTGCTTTACATACATAATTGCATTAGCCCTCACAATATTCCTAGTGAGGTATCAACCTCACATACAGACAAGTATCATTATCCCCACATAACTTGATAAGGCTCAAGTTAAATAACTTGCCCAAAGTTACACAGCAAGAGAAGTGGGAATTCTATAATGTAAACTCTGGTCTGACTCCTAAAGCTTGTTCTCTAAATTCATCTTTAGGCTTTGTAACTCAGAATTTTTTCTAAGCATACAAAATACTTTGGGCTAAAACATACGGAAAAAGATTCAATTAAAAGCTTTAAAAGCAAGTATTTACTTTTTAAAACAGCAATCAGAACTAAATGATTTACCATCAATGGTGGAAGGTAGGAGTGTTGACACAATTTCTCCTTGTCCTTTTTGGTTTTTATATAAGAAGCACTGGAAACAATAGAGAACGGCACAGCGCAATACAAATGGCTGCCTTTCATTAACCATGGACATGAGAAGTACCACAATTGCTGGTCTGTTGCATTTAAAAACAAAAGAATAAAGCGAAACATTACAACTCAAGAAAACAAATCAATAACTAGTAATTTTGGTTGACTGAAGAACCATAACCAGAACACCAGCAAGTTAAGTATTTTCATCTTCATTTCACAGAAAAAGAACCTGCAGCTCAGAGATGTGAAGTCATGTATTTGCTTAAGGCACATAGCTAGGACGGGGAAGAGGTGATATCTGAACCCATATATCTAAATTTCAAAGACCACACACTCTTTTAAAATACCAACATATTTATCTTGTCAGATAATTTCTAGTTTAAAACACACAGTTGAACTTCTTAAAAGGATAAGGTGTATATATGAGATATACTAAGAACCCAAAGCAATTTTTTATTTCCTGAGAAGATACCTCAATATTCTCTTTTCCTACCTTGGTGGGTTTGAAGGTGCATTTACAGAAGCAAAGTAGTCTTGGTTTACATGGCAACCTCGAATAACTTCTGATACAGTATTAATGGTCTGTTAAGGAAAAAAAAAAAAAGAACATTTAGAGAAAGTAAGTCAAGGAAGGAAACATGTTTTTAAAAGAAGAAAATGTTATATCCTTCTAATTTTTGTGTTTAAATGTCAAAATTCAGACACCAAAAAATGGACGACAGCATTAATCTTGTAACATTTTCTCTAGATAAAATTTTAAAACATTAAGCGTGGGCTTCCAATTAAAATAATACTTGACCACATGCATTTATTTCTTCTCCCTACCAAAACTTGCCAAAATAATAGTAACGGATTTTCTTATTTTAATATAATCCCATAGGGAAAAAGGGAAAAGGAGACGAGATATTTTAACAAATTATTAGATACAAAGCAGATAGCAGACAGAGGTAACCTATTTATCAGAGTGGTAAAGATAACAATCTAAGTGTCCGTGGAAGGGAACATCAATGGGAAGTGAGCCATGCTGTCCTACTGAACCATGAGAGGCTCAAATTTCAGAGCACCAAGCATAAGGAAGGTTGGGGGGGGGGGTCGCTGTAGGGGAGTTGCCTCAAGCAAAGTCAAAAACAGAAGAACTAGTTAAAAGTCTGTCCATAGACCACCCTTACCCCCATTTCACTTCAGGTCTCTCCCTTAGACCACAGAAGATGAGAGGTTTGTTCTCTAGAGAAAATGAACAACAAAAACTCCATACTTGGGCATACCGGCAGAGCAAAGAAGTAGGGTGAGGTATGGGGCTGAAAACAGGGAGACAATCCAGTCTAGAAAGTGTGGAACTCTCAGTTCCTTTTTCTGACTTACTGGCAGGAAAGAGACTGGAGAAGTCTTTTCTGGAAAAACTACATGGTCCTAGAGAAAACACCTGCCAACACTGATAACTTGGTAGACTCGAATAAAGAGAGTGTCCTGCACCTGATATGCGCTCTGCAAAGACCACCAGTCTACAAGCCCCTTCGGTACTCAGTGATTCATTCATTTTTTTAGTGCCTTACTCAAATGTGAAAGAATAATTAAGAATGATAGACACCCAAAGAAAAGTTGCTGATGCGAATAAAACAAAGACCAAATCAAAAAAAGAGAAAAACAGAAATCCAGAGGAAACAGCAAAGGCAAGGAAGAGATCTCAAAAAAACTAAAATTAATAATATTCTCAGAGAAATAAGAGAATCTATTTCTTTTTTTTTTTCCACAAAATTTTTTTTATTTCAAATATAAAATCAAACATTCAAGATCTATATGTACTACATATATTTGTATTTATTTTACTTTTATTAGGAAGACCAGCCAAAGAGCTATTAATTATTATATATGTAAATGTGGGGGAGCATATTATCATTATATTGTCTTTAAAGTACCCAAGGTTGTTGTTAGGTGCCATTGAGTTGATTTCAACTCATAGTGAACCCGTGGACAGTGAAGAACTGCCCCATAGGGTTTTCTTGGCTGTAGTCTTTTTTTTTTTTTAATTGATGTAATTAAATGAAGTTTACACTTCAAGTTAGTCTCCCATACAGAATTTTTTTTTTTTTTTTAACATACATTGTTACCAGATCCCAACCGCTCACCCCATTCTGCGACAGCACACTCCTCCTCTCCGCCCGATTCCCCATGAACATTCAACCAGCTCCTAACTCTCTCTCCCTTCCCCTCTCACCTCTGGACAGAAGCCACCCCTTTGGTCTCTTATATCTACTTGTCTAAGAGGCACATTCTTCACAAGTATCACTTTATGTCCCACAGTCCAGTCCAATCCGTCTGTAGAGTTGGCCTCGGAAATTGTTTTAGTTCTGTGGCGATGGAGAGACCAGGGACCATGCTTTCCGGGGCACCTCCAGTCTCAGTCAGACCATTAAGTCTGGTCTTCTTACTAGAATTTGAGCTCTGCATCCCATCGTTCTACTGCTCCATCAGGGACCCTCTGTTGTGTTCCCTGTCAGGACGTTCATTGGTAGTAGCCGGGCACCATCTAGTTCTTCTGGTCTCAGGCTGATGAAGTCTCTGGTTTATGTGGCCCATTCTGTCTCTTGGCCCGATACTTTCCTTGCGTCTTTGGTGTTCTTCGTTCTCCTTTACTCCAAGTGGTTGGGACCAACTGATGCATTTTAGATGGCCGCTTGCAAGCTTTTAAGACCCCAGACGCCACTCACCAAAGTAGGATGCAGAAAATTTTCTTAATAAGGTTTGTTATGCCAATTGACATAGATGTCCCCTGAAAGCATGGTCCCCAGACCCCGCATCCCTGCTACTCTGAAGAGAATCTATTTCTATGAAATAAGAAAAAGATGTTTTAAAATAACATCAGAGAACAAAGAGTCATCCTAATTTAAAATGTAACAAATTAAAAATTCTACTTAAGGATGGAGTTGAACCCTCTAAGAAAACAGAATAAAAGGACAAACTAGGTCTAGAAAATCCAACAATCTACTGAGAGTTTCAGAAAGAGAACAGAAAAGAGGAAATTCTCAAGGAATAGCAAAAAATGTTATCAGAACTGGAGGACACACGTCTCCAGCTTTAAAAAGCCCAGCGAATGCCAAAAACAACTGGATAGGAAAAAAAAAATTCCATGGAATGGCACATCATCAGTAAATTTCAGAAAACCAGAAATGAAGATCCCAAAAATTTCTATGGACAAAAAAACAGGTTACATAAAAAGGATCCAGACTCAGTATGTCTTCAGACTTAACAACAACACTGGGCCAATGTTTTCAAAGTTGAGTGTTAGTGATTTTCCACTTTGAATTCCATACCTAGCCAGACATTAAATAACTATAAAGGCAAAGGAATGACATTTTCAGACATGCAGCGGCTAAAATCAAATTCTATTCCCATTTACCCTTTTTCAGGAAGTTAAAGATAATGAACCAAAGGTGGGGCCGGGGGTGGGGGGAGGGGAGGAGGAGATATGGGATACACAAAAGCAAAGAAACCAAGTCAAAAGAGAAGTAAAAGGAAATCCCAGGAGGATGATAAAGGAAAAGTCCCAGGACAAGAGCTGAGCAGCAGAACTAGAGAACAATCAGCCCAGACTGGAGCAGGAAGATGGAAGGCTTCTGGAAGAAGGTCTGGGTGGAGAGGGATGATGGGCTAAGCATTATTATAGTACTGACAATGCAGAGACACACAGAAAACTAGTCAAGTGAAAAAAAGAACACAATACAATTGTAACTCAGGAAAGAGGAAAGGAGATACCTATCTATCCACCTATCTATAAAAGATACATCAAATGAAGATACAAGGAGACAGATTTCTTATCAAAGTAAAGATGAACTACCTAAATAGATGTGAACAGCACTGGTTTGGTTGTAAAAATACAAACCCTAAATTTTAATGTAAATATGACTTCTATTAAAACAATCCTGGGGTGACAGGAGGAAGTCAAGTGGGAGGAATACAGGGGGGAAGAAGGAAGTCTTCATCTACAGAGGTGGAAAGTAAACATTTAAACTTGATAAATCAAGGAGCAGTAGTAAAAGTTGTTTAGGGAATGCCTTAATTTACCTCAGTCAGGATATCAGCAGGAACCCCAGTAGCCATTAGGATAGTGCAAAGCTGCTGCAATAACCCACACTGGAACATAGCCTTCTGGCAGGTACTGGTAGCACCAGGAGGGTTGGTGGGAGATACCAGTACACGAACAAGCTGCAAGCGAAAAAAAAAAAAGTCTTTTAAAGATCTGAAAAGGCTCGAAGCAGATTTCATCTATGTGAACAAGAAATCTTTGTGAAGGATTCCCTAACCTGTCCACCATGATCCAGATGTTCTTTCCTTGGTGCTCCCATGGCAACACTTCAGTTATAGTACATATTACATTACGCTACTTGCTTGAGTTCCTGTCTCCTTCAGGTGACTGGGAACTCCTAGAGAGCAGACACTGCCTTGGTCATGTTTTTCTCCCAAATAACAACCATGGTATTTGTAACATGGCACACATTTCACAGATGAGCAAGTAAAGATGTTACAGGGTGGCACATTTCTTACCAAGTAAAGATGAATTACCTAAACAGAATGGTCTGAAGTGTGGTAAGTTCTCTCTAAACTAGAAATACTTAAAGAGGAGCTACAACTAACTTGGAGATATGGTAGAAGATTCATGCATTAGGTAAGCAGTTGGCCTCGCTGGTTCTTAAAAAAAAAAAAAAAAAAATTGTGACTCATAGTGACCCTATAGGACAGAGTAGAACTGCCCTATAGGGTTTCCAAGGCTGTAATCTTTACAGAAGCAGACTGCCACATCTTTCTCCTGTGGAGTGGCAGGTGGGTTTGAACCACTGACCTTTTGATTAGCAGCCAAGCACTTAAGCAGTGCACCACCAGGGCTCTCAATGCTAATTAAATCCCTAAGAGTCTCTGATCCTACGGTTAGTCTGAAACTGAACATGAAATTTCAGAAACAGAAAACAGTAATCTCAAATAACTGTTTAGAGCAGTTATATCTTCAAAATAATTTTATACATATATCTTGCATTTTAAAACTTTATGTATGCTAAATCTTCCGTATCAAAATCAAACGGGAAATTTATAATACACTGTTAATGACAAGTGCTATGTTATTTTATAGTAGATACATAAAGTAATCAATGATATAACAGGTCAGACTAAAAATTTTATTACTATAGTTGTTGCATATAATAGATAGTGACTTCACTATGAAAGGGGACTTTCTGTGGGAGGCAGAGTTAAACGTAAGATAAATAAATAAAATGGTTTGAAAAGCAATATTTTTATTATTGATGAATAAAAAGGTGACCAGGAATCATGGGAATTTGGGAAAAAAACAGTAGTTAAATCAGTGAGTAATGAAGAAATAGAACTGTTAGATATTTTCACATCTGTTTTAACAAGCATTCTCAGAGAAGGTTGATTAATAAATTGATGTTACTGGAGAGAGGCTTTAGGATTACACCGTTGGCTCCTGTCCTTGGACTTCCCTAGTTAGATAGTTAGACTTCTGCTATTTTTTTTTTTAATCTAGCCCCTTTTCATCACTCAATTTTTTTTTTGAGTATTTAAAGCAAATCCCAGGCAATACAACACTTCTCCCATAAATACTTTTATAAGCATTTCTAACTGATAAATGCTTTTTTTTTAAAAAAACATAATCATGATGCTATTAAACAAAACTAACAATAATTTTTAATATATACTATCAGATAAACATCTTTATTGATGATGTGAATAAAGAAAAGTAATTATCACTAAATTTTTAGAGACAGAGTAGGAAGGCTGGTTGAAGAGAGAATATTTATTATGAAGATGAGAAGATGAGGGAAGATCTAATAACAGCTATCCAACAATAAAAAGGATTCTCTTATAAGGTAATGGGCTTTCTGAGGATCACTGGCAGTATCTGTCCAAAAAAATGGCACAGGAGGGATTCCTGTAGAGATAGGAGGTAGAACTAGTCATAAAACTATAATTCTATACAAAAATTTACGTTTTGTGACTAAAAAATTTTTCAAAAAGATGTTTCCCCTAAAGCGAATCTGCACAATTTGAATGAAAAATCGCCAAACAGATCAATTTCAATTTTCAGCACATCAGAGTTCAACCATGATTCTGTGATGATGAATGCTTCTAATCAGGATACATGTATTCAAATAAGAAAACAGTGATGTATTTTCATTAGATGCATAAAAGAAAACCTGAAATACAAGTAACCTAAGTTATAAAGAAAGAACACTCTAATAGGTTGAGAAACGAAAAAAACCAAACCCATTGCCATCAAGTTGATTCCAACTCATAGTTACCCTACAGGACAGAGTAGAGCTGCCCCATAGGGTTTCTAAGGCTGTGATCTGATCTTTACAGACACAGACTGAATAGGTTGAGAAGCAGAAGATAATTCATGGCCTGTAAAGTCATGAAAGCCATCTACTACTCAATCTTTGAGGTAGAAAATAGTTTAAATGAGTTAAACTCAGTTCTTTTGAAGACTAGTATAAGGGAGAGAAAAGCTTTACTACACTAGACAGAGCCAATTAGTTTTTCATTTTTTAAAAGTAAATAATACTTAAAGAACCAACTCACTACATAACTAGAATACTTGAAATGCTTCCCCTTATGCACAGTACTCTATTCTAAAAATGTTTTTTGTAAAATAGTACTTTAAACAGTGACAGTTTCATCAAAACAATTCCTTACATAGTACCCCAAATTATAAAATAAGTTTCTACCAGTTTAAATATTCACTTTTTAGAGGGAAATACATGTTTATGCCATCATCAGATCCCCTTACTCTTTCTAACCACATTTTGAAAATTACTTTTATAGAGAAATTTCCTTTAAGACAGAGGTGTTGAGCAAAGATATCAAGCTTACCCCTTTGTGACACTATTTCTAAAACACAAGAAACTTAATAAATTATTGAGATGTGTAGTACTGACATGTGAAAATAGAAATAATGTAGTTGGAGGTATAAGTAGAAAGAAGAACTCTGTGGCCATGTTCTTCTGTAAAATACTTTTGTTACAGGTTTCAGGTTTATTCTAAAAAGATTAACTATATAATTTATCATCCAAACCGGGACATTTTGAAATGAAAGAGAACACTATTAGTAATTACAGAATGAATACTGTCCTGGCAAACTGGGACACATGGTCACCCTAATTATCAATCAACCCTATGTAGGCAACTCCCAGGGCATGTAACAATTTCAGACTCTAATTACTAGAGAGGTTAACCATTGACTTGTGAGGGCCGCAACTTCAGAGATGCAGGCACAATGTCAAAGACATTCAAAGATCCACAAAAATCATTAAAGGGTTAATAAAAAAAAAGTTTTAGGAGGCTGATACAAATTTAAGGGGCTGGAGAAAGGGAATAAAAGAGAAAATAAAATACTTAAAAGAATTTCAAAATTTTATCTGACATAGACATTATTTAGGACCCTATAATCCTTGCTTTTACTACTTTTATCAGTGAGCTTTCACCACAAAGCTTAAATAAAACTACAGGTCCTTTCCTCAATTTAACTTTGGTACTAGACTTAAAGCTCAGCCTATTTATCTTTGGGGGTAGGGATATTATCATTCATTTCCTAGCACCCAGTGCCTGGCTCTCAATAAATGTTTATTTAACAAACTTATTTGTTGAGCTTAATATTTTAAGTATTAAAATGTATGATATTAAATTTCTAACTGAAGAAGGCAGAATTAATTCAAATCCACAATCTAACCCACTATTCGCTAATGTAAATCAGGAAACAATTCGCCTGGATGTGCTTTAAAATAATCTAGCAGGGCAAGAGAGGGGAATGAAAGATGAAAAACAAAATTGCCAGATGTAAATAATAATTGAAGCTGTGTGCTAGATGAGTGTGTGTGTATGGGGATGGGGCATCTCTATCTGTGTATGACTGCAAATTTGCACGTTACAAAGTTTTTTAAGTGCACCTGAAACCAACTGAATATACTGGATTTATCAAACACAAGCTATTTTCTTTTCTTTGAAAGGATCGCTGTCAAAGTTCCCATCACATTTATGTCTAAGAACAGTGTACCTGTAGCATTAGATGCAAATTAGTCACTTTCTGTGCAGACCAGCCAGAATTTTCATCTCCAACTTCAAACCAAGGTTTCATACGTTGAATATATGAGCCTTCTTTAAAAAAATTTTGATTGGAATTGTTGTTTTTTAACAAGTTTTGAAGCAATATCAAACAATCTTCTACTACTATACCTGGGGAAAAAATGTAAAATGGAAATGTTAAGGCTGATAAAAACTGAAGGAAACTTCACTTCCCAAACCTTTTTAAAAAAGGATAAATCTCCATGCTTGCTATCTCTTCTGTATGCCAGGGCAGACAGCCTATTCTGACTTCTGACTGCTACTCCACAGCCAGAGGTCACTACAATCATGTTGTTTTCTCAGGTTCCCCAGTGATCTCCTGATTTCTATGTTCAGCTGCCTACTTCCCAGTAACCTATATTCTTTCTTCAAATTCCAGCTGAAACATAATTTCTTCAGGAATGACTACTCTGACCCAGTGACTCGGTTAGGATTACCACCTATATGCTCTCACAGCCCCCTGTTACTTTTATTATGTAGGGTCTGTCTTCTCCATGGAGTCCCTGGGTAGTGCAAATGCTTAACACTCTTGGCTTCTAACTGACAGGTTAGAGATATGAGTCCACCCAGAGGCTCCTCAGAAGAGAGGTCTGGTGACCTACTTCCAAAAAATCAGTCACTGAAAAACCCATGGAGCACAGTTCTACTCTGACACACATGGGGTTGCCACGAATCTGAGTCGACCTGACAGGAACTGTTTTCTCTTTTTGGTTTTTTTCTCCTCTAGATTACAATCCACGAAGACAGAGATTTGTAAATGCCCTATTCACCTCTGTATCCTCAGAAGAGACAAAGACAAGGTATCAGGAACTATACATAGTAAAAACAACAACAACAACAACAAAAAAAAACAAACTAAACCCACCGCCGTCAAGTTGATTCCGACTCACAGAGTGGCTGGTGGATTCGAACTGCTGACCTTTTGGTTACCAGCCAACCTCTAACCACTGTACCACCAGGGCTCCATAAATAGTAGGTAACTATTAAATATTTGTTGAATGAATCAGTCATATCTCATCTAATCTCTAAAGCACTTGGCCTTATTATTCCTATGTCTCTTCCTTGAAACTTCCTTTTTCCCTTGGTTTCTAAAACACTGCTCTTTCCTCCTGGTTTGCCTGTTTTTCAGTCTCTCTTACCAATTCCTGCTCCTCTAATACCCCTTAACTATTGGTATACATTAGGTTCTGTCCTAGCCTCCTTCCCTTTTCATTCTTCACTCATTCTAAGTAACTCATCTAAATTTTCTTTCATCTATCATGTATAAAGATTCCCAAATCCTTACTTTCAGCTTGGACCTCCTCTCTAAATTAATATATCCAATTTTCCACTGTAATACTCTATTTGCTAGTCCCAGTTCAATGTGTACAAACAGAACTCATTTTCTCCTCCTACCATAGTGCTAGGTTTTTGGCATAACTCTCTGATTAAAAACTACTAAAAACACTGAATTAAAAAAAAAGTCTTAAAAGCAATGAAGAGCTGACAGGTTAGCAGACTAAAACTGAAGAGAAAATGGATATCCAGAGAGAAGAACAAGTATAAAAGTAACTTTTGACCAGGAGTTCATTTCTTGATCTTGGAAAATCTAAAACTTTCATTTTGACAGTCTCATGGGGCAGGGGGAAAATAAATCAAAGCCAAGGGCTTACACCAGGTGGGGAATCTAATAGAGAACTCTCCACACAATAAGCTGGAACCTCAAAGGGCTATATCTTGGAGTAATAATTAACCAAAAGTTAACCAGCCCTCACAGGTCTTACAGCCTGGATTTGCATTGCCTGAGTGGTCAAGGAAATCTCAAGCCTTGATTTGGAGTAAGGTGGTCCAAGACAAAATGCACTCCAAGGGCTTGGCAGAAACAAATACGTGTTTTCTCTGAAAGAAATTATCTTCATCTTAGGCTTCAAATTCCTATAAATAGTTTTGTTAATCACAATGACCAACAAACAGTTAAAGAGAACCAGAACACAGAAAACATGGCAACACGGGCAAGAACCAGTACAGTAAAAGTATCAGACCTACGAAGACTTAAGATAGTGGAATTATCAGAGAGACACTATGAAATATTAAGCTACTTCTGTTCAAGGAAATAAAAGATAAGTTGAAAATATCTGCAGGAAACAAGAAATTATAAACAACTGCATAACGGGTTTGCCAAAGAACTAAATAGAACTTTTAGAAAAGGAAAATTAAGAACTCAATTGATAGGTTTAATAGCAGATTAAGAATAAGTGAAGAGATTACCCTTTAGTCAAAGATTAGACAGGCCCATAAAACAAACAATAAAACATGCAGCTCAACTACGTATACAAGACTAAATGGGTACACCAGCCCAGGGGCAAGGACGAGACAGCAGGAGGGGACAGGAAAGCTGGATGAATGGAAATGGGGAACCCAAGGTCGAGAAGGAAAGAGTGATGACACATCACAGGGCTGGCAACCACTGTCACAAAACAATATGTGTAATAATTGTTTAATGAGAAACTAATTTGCTCTGCAAACCTTCACCTAAGCACAACAGAAAAAGAAAAAAAAAAAAAAAAAAGAATTGGTGAAATGGAAAACAGGTAAGAAGAAACCATCCAGAATGCAGCCCAGAAAGACGAAAACTAAGATGACAGAGTGAGAGTCAAATCAGATGACAGAAAACTGACAAAGTCAGAGAAGAGAGAAATGCGGCAGAAGCAGTATTTGAGGAGATACAGCTGGTATTTCCCAGAACTGATGAAACACACCAACCTCAGACACCAACCTAGACTCCAGAAGCCCAACAAATATCAAGCAGGGTAAGTAAAAAAATACACACTTCAACACACTACAGCAAATGAATGAAAGAGTATAAAGTTTGAGTCCTCATTTTTCCCTCTAATTGCATTCTCTAGAAGTTTAGAGTTCAGTGAGTACAAAATAAGTCTCTTTAAACCAATCTCTTCATACTGTACCTCCATCACTGTTCCCCTCTTCTGTAATAATGTCTAGTAGTCTCTCAAAAGCATTTTCAAAAGCAACAATTTTCTGGATTGCTCCATTGCTTCTTGTTAGTGCCTGAAGTAATAAGACACCCTTGTGGAGAAGAAAGATAATGTTTAGTGTACTACAATCTTTATAAGACATTTTAAAATTACTTAAAAAAATCCTATCATTTTAGAACTGGCAGGTATTTCAGAAATCCAGCTCCTTCATCTTAAAGACAAAACAAGGATAGAAAAGTTAAGCAATTACCTCCCTAAGATTAAAGATCTTGAAGGGACAGAGCCTAGACTAGAATCCATGTCTTAACAATTCCTAATTCAGTTCCTTTTCCACTGTGCAATATAAATATATAATATTTTTTTCATATTCATCAATCACTAGATAGCTTTCATTGTGGCCTGAAGCATATCACTCACTGTACATGCTTCACAACAGTAATAATGGACAAGCTATGAATTCAATAACATAAATTAATACCATCATAGTCAGGCAGAGGAAGTTGTTATTCTTGACCCCTAATTCCCAAAACTTAATTTGAAGTCAATAGAAAAAAGAAAGATGAGAATTCATGCCTCATGTTCACAGCAGTTCAGCATGACCTTGTTGCTGATTTTTAGTTTTCTCACCTCCTGTTAAACTGGGGTTTATATATTCTGCAATCTCTTTATAATTCAAGAAAAACTCACCACTTCCAATTTTTCCTTATTTCACTATCAAAGAAGAAGTACTTTAAGAGCCCTTAAGGACTCAGCAGTATCATGGTAGCCAAAAGAAAGCAAATATCTTATAAAAAACACATAGAACAGCAAAAATCTCAGAGTCAAATTAGTTGTTGGCTGTTAGTACTGGGCAGATATGTATTCATATAAGGAAAAAAACCAAAAAAGCCCCTGGCCTTATTGGGCTTGCTCCACTAATTTTCCTGACTGTCAAGTCTTAACACCTAGATAAGAGAGAAAGGTAAAAGTAGTTATTTTTAGATGTCAAATTTTCCCACTTAATCCTGCCAACTTGAGTTTAACTGCTATCAAAGGGAGGAGTACAATGGAAAGAAAACTGGGGGCCTGAGTAAGATAAAGTGGGTTTAAAAACTAGTTGCCCTAGTTACTAGCTGTATGACTTTGGGCAAATTACATAAATCCTGAATCTCAATATACTCATGTGTAAAACAAGGTTCATATTATCTATTTCATAGGGATTTTATGAGGAGTAAAAGAGATAAAATATATGAAAATGCCTTCTACAGAACCTTCCATATGTTAAGTTCTCAGTAACTGTTTCTCTCCCTTATTCTCCTAAATGACTATTAAAAAAAGTTCCTGCTCTAATCAAACACATCCACTAAGATCCTATTAAGAATAAAAGCATACTTGTTGGTCATTGAAAGTAAGTGGGTACCAACTTCTTCGAACACTGGTAATTAAAGGGATTTATTTATTTACCCTGCCTTTCAGTATGAACCTGTATTTTAGGGTAATAAAGTAGCACTAGTTGATGAAGTTCTTCTTTATAGATGATTACAGTTTAATAAATATGGAAAGAATGACAGAATTAGAGAAATCATCACTTTGGAACTCCTAACAAAATAACCCCTCTGGCACTGCTCATTAGCGGATGAAACCATTAGATATAAGGCTGATAGAGAGCTTCACAATGGAGGGATCTGGCTATCACCACCTGAATCGAACCCACTGATTACTAAAAGTGAGACAACCAGATATTATATGTCTCCTGATGCATTGCAAAATTAAGTATACCATATCACCTAGGAAATATTCTAGCAAAAAGTTGAACCTGAAACTAATCAAGCCTTTAGCGTTAACAGACAGAATAGCCAAATGTGACAAAATGATCTCTTCTGGATCCTGATTCGAAGACTCCAACTGTAAAAAGACATTTTTGAGACAACTGGGAAACCTGAATATGGAATGGTTCTCTTATATAAACTGAGAACCAAGAAATTACTAACTTGTTAATTTTGTGATAATGGTGTTGTAGTTACATATTAAAAACACATGCACACACACACATTTTTTTTTCTTCCCTGAAATGCATACTGAAGTGTGAATGGGTAAAATTACAGATTGCTTGATCGCTTTTAAATACTCCAGCCAAAAATAAACAGGAGTGGGGTGGAGGTGGGAGGAGGAGGCAGATGAAGCAAGTAAAGCAAAATCTTGATAATTGATAGGTTTGGGTATTTTCTACTTTTGTGTGTGCTACATTTCTCATAATAAAAAAATAAATAAAAGAATGGAAGTACAGTCTGTCCCTTAGAAGTAAGCTGGTAGTTTCTTTCCAGGGTTTTCTCAACTGTTTTAGTGTAACTTGCTATTTAAACACTAAGCAACAGAGGTAAGTATGAAAGTATCAGTGCACCTACAATACATGACCAACTAATTTTCTAAATCCAGATCTATGCCAATGTTTCAAATATAGAACAAACTAGGGCTAAGAATCTTTACCAATATGCTCTAAGGGAGGCTAACCAATATCTACAATGGTCAGTGAGTGTAATTAGAAGGTTGATTAAAAGAAAGGGAAAAAAGAAAAGAAAATTTAAAAGAAAGAAAAAACGAAAAGAGGAAAAGCAGCAATACACCGTTTCAGGAAGTCAGAGTGCCTGGCACCGATAACTGCCAGAGGTGCCGCTTAGTTGCCTCTGGTTGCTGATCCTTGGTGTCAACTGTGTATATTACGATACATTATAGAATGTAACTGACAGTAACTATCCACAAATAAATTCAAACATATACGCTTATTTAAACCAAAGAAAATATGGCTGTTAAACACATAAAAATGAAGAATCTCTATAAGGTACAAGAAAATATAAAAATATAACAATCCTTAACTGTAAAATTAGTAAAAATGAACATAAGTAGAGAATCATTTTCTCTGTCTCAAATAAAAATTGAGAGAAAAATATGAAGAACAAAAGGTTAGAATTAAAAGAAAAAGTAAATTTAAGAACCAAGATACGCACTTATGCTAAAAAAAAAAAAAAAAAAAAAGTAATTTTATATTTTAAAATGAAAACAAATCGCAATAATACTAATAGAGATCCAGGGAAAGATAATTTCTTTATTAAATGGTTTGTATGCTATCCTCTTATTTAAACTGAGGGTCAAGAGAATAGAACAGAAACTTTAAGTTCAAGATACATAGTAACATTTAGTCCAAGATGCTCAAAATTCCTAACGGATGTCCATTTAAATAAGACAGTTTTTTAAAAAATAAAATTTAAATATTAAAGAATAAAAAAGCCTTTGTAAGTTACATTACTATATAATTCCACTATCTATAAAAATGAATTGATGTCCATTAAAAAAAAAAAAGGAAACTTGTATCTGTGTGGCTAATGAAGAACAAGTTACTTAGTCTCTGTGGGTCTTGTGCTTCTCCCTATAAATATGGAAACTGACTTAGCTTGATATGATCTCATAGCTGTAACATTTAATTTTAAAATGATTTTTCCAATTGTTGTCCAAAGTATTACAGAGTTTTGATCAAGCTGTAAGGTAACAATAAAGAAAAATGTTCAAGCAACAAAATAACGTGGCATCAATGCAAAATATTCAAACTTATATGCAAATATTATAATAAATCAAAATGGAAAATAACTCTAGACCAAAACATGCTCTATAGTTAAATAGAAATTATCAAGGAAAAATCCGCTGAAATATATTCAGTCAACTAAGTATGAGGATCCCAAATGTTATGCTTTGTTAAGTTTACATAATTCAATGTGTGGGGACCTTTTCTCTACTCTTCAGAAAGAAAGGGGGATTCTAAAGGTAAGAGTTTAGGGTCAATACAACCTTTCAGAAGAGGGTGCAAGAAATCCTAAACCTGTGGAAGAAATAAATTTGAATAGCAAAATGGTTTGCTTAACCCAAAACATTGGATAGGCAAGAAAAAAAGAAATAATGTGGCCATGCATATAACTTTAAAAAGTCTAAAAGACTGACCACTAACCCCAACTTTCAAAATCTGTTTATACTTTTGAATAAGAATCTACAAAGATTTCATTTGCCAAGAGGAAAAAAAAGTTGCATATTACTGGACTCCTTTTTCAAATTTAACTTACATCATTACGTATAACTTCCCGGGAATCTGCTAATAAGTCCATCAATCTTGAAACACCTAGGAAAAAAAAACGTGAAAAATATCGGCAAGCCAAAAATGCAAATACTAATTCAAATTATAAACAATTTATTAACAAACCATTTCAGTCCCCCTCTCTAGGAAATACTCATTTTTCTAATCAAATGATATAAGGGAAGTTAAGTCACTTACCCATGGGGCTGACTAAAATAATTTGCTGCACCTGAGGCCCTAGTTGTTTTAAAAGAGAAGTAAGAAGCTTCACACCAGGCCAACGGACATGGAAATCAAACTCCTGCAATATAAGAATTTAAAATATTTAACATCTGTAATTCACATTTTCAAGAAAAACATATAAAGAATGAAAGAACGGAAATTCAGCAAACTCCTAAAAAGTGATTCTGAAGAGACAAAAGGCAATAAACAGAAAATAAGAAATTAATATGAACTGATCAAACAGATTAAAATGTTACTGACTGGATAAAAGAGTATTTTGTAAAAATAGAAATAATTTAGAAAGCAGTGTTTTAACAGATTATATACTTCTTGAAACATGGATATAAATCTCTTGCTATAATAAAAACTCACTATCTTAGAAAGGTATGTATATGTTGCTTCCTCAATAACACCAGAAAAAGGCAACAAAAAAGACTCTTACTAAGATGACAAAAATATCAACATTCCCTATTTACCTCCAATAAAGATAGCAGGAGAGTGACATTTTCTTGCTGTTTAATGAAAATTTCTGTAAACTGGCTTCCCAAATCATCACTTTGTCTTGTGGAATTTTCTTCTGTAATATTCAAAGATACAGTACTTCAACAGAGGTGCTATGTTATTTTAAAGTATGTTTTTGTTGAAGGAGCTAAGCAGAAATGATAATTTTCTTGTATTTAAACAATTCAACCCTATAACAGTGTAGCTGGTAGCAATGTCACAACGAAGAGAAGGCAATTAATTCCTTAAAATAACGTTCAACGTCATTTAAATAATTTTTATTCCTCAAATGTTTAAATGTAGTCTTCAAATAAGAGATATCTAAGTTTTTGCATTTTCTCAAGGACATTTTTAGGTTAAACTGGGGCACAAAGAAACTCTTTGGGGTGATGGAAATATTCTAGCACAAGTTACACCGTTGTATACATCTGTCCAAACTCACAGGACTGTACAACCCAAAAGAGTCAATTTGACTGTATGTAAATTATACCTCAAAACTCCTTCCCCTCCAAAACTATTATTAAACATACAGTCCTTATTGATTGTTAGTGCTACTGTATTAATTTACTTAAAAATTAAATCAAACATCTGCAGTCATCAAACCTTTTAAAAAAATATTATAGTATGTATACAGCTATTTAGTAATAAAACCAGAATTTTACATTTCTTATTTAGTCTTTAAAATATTTTATATTTGTTTAAACACAGAAGAAAAGATTCTTTGATGGTTGCGAGGGTGGGGAGGAAGGGAGAGGGGAATTCACTAACTAGACAGTAGGCAAGAATTCTTTTAGGTGAAGGGAAGGACAACACACAATACAGGGGAGGTCTGCTCAACTGGCCTAAACCAAAAGCTAAGAAGTTTCCTGAACACCATCAAACACTCTGAGGGACAGTGTAGCAGGGGCAAGGGTCTGGGGACCATGGCTTCAGGGGACATCTAGGTCAACTGGTATAACAAAGTTTATTAAGAAAATGTTCTGCATCCCACTTTGGTAAGTGGCGTCTGGGGTCTTAGAAGCTAGCGAGCGGCCATCTAAGATGCATCAATTGGTCCCAACCCACCTAGAGCAAAGGAGAATGAAGACGACCAAAGATATGAAGGCAATATTAGCCCAAGAGACAGAAAGGGCCACATAAACCAGAGACTCCATCAGCCTGAGACCAGAAGAACTAGATGGTGCCCGGCTACCACCAATGACC